TGCTGCTTGGCCTGCTGTGTTCATCCAGCCCTGCACCTTGTTGTCTCTACTCCAAGTGAACTTGTTTCACAACAAATCAAGTTCAGCAAATTCAACTGGCTGACACCTGACAGCTTTTGTATAGGAATTCAAAACTGCAAACTACAAATTCTGTAGAAATAAACTTGGCATCCAATAACATAGCACTTCAAATGGTGTAGAGCACATCAACACATTCTTAAAGAAACAGCAACTTCTATATTTTCAAATAGAGAGGAAATCCTGGTTGTTAGACATTGGTCAATGTAATCACTATGCTGCTGCAGTTGACAAATTTACCATTTGAAACTTTTTTCTTAGGGTGAGGGAATGAGAATTCTTATTACAAAGACTTTTCAATAGATAAGAATTTTGAAAATTAGAGGGGCATAATTTAAAAACCACTGAACTCAATTATAAAGATGTTGCTTTTGGTTATATTTGTTTCAATTTAATAATACATGACTTGAGACAAGATGTAGAAAGTGAAAGCTTTCTCATGAATTATTAATAACCTCCTTATATCACATCTTTTTCGAAACACACACTTCACAGGTTTTCACATTTTTATAATTCTGGAATAAATATCTGCCACTTAAGGCTACAGTTTCATCATGTCAAAAAGTAGGACATGCTGGTAAGTTTGCTTATATGCCGAAAAGACAAAAGTATTTTTGAATAAAAGAAATTTTCAGTATTTAGTATTTCAGCAATTGTTTTATTTCTGAGCAACTCAGTGAATACAGTTTATTTATGGAATTCATTCACCAGTAACTAAGGCACACAAACCTTAGCAATACGTTCCCTCAGCCAATTGTCACTTATGGTGAGTAAATTGTGCCAACACCAACACAGTCATCAGAAAAAGGGTGGGATGGAATTTGGTAAATTGGCATGTGCAATAAAGATAATTTATCTCCAGAATTACAGGAAGGAGAGGAGATAGAAATTTATTGCTCAGTAAAGTCTATGCAGTTCAAAAGCTACCAAGTATACTGGAAAGAGTTGGGACCAATAAAAGTAATTATCTTTGAACTCTGCAGGTCTATGAATAGCTAGTTTACACGTCACAGTCTGACTTTATTTTAAGAACAACAAACCTATGCTGAGTGGAACTTATAAAAGTGAAGGATTTACATAGCAGCACATGTACGCTTAAGGTCAGATAAATCACCATTCTTTGGACTCACTGGTCAGTGCACTAACCTGAAGCAGCGGCAGGAGTAACTGTTTTGTTAGATCGAACTGCTGCAGTATTTCGGACACAGCCAGGACTACGTGCAAGAGTGATCACTTTCCCTGGTGGAGTGTGCATCTGATCTTCTTGGTTTGACTTCATTGGAGATGTCGCCACAGAGCTAGATTCTGGACTCTATACATTGTAAAAGAGCTGCATGAGACAGTAGCACTGAAGTCTTCTACGCATCCCCCAGGTGTCCACATCTCTACTGTTCCACTGAGCCACATTTAACAAGATGTCAGTGGCGTAGTGTGATTGGTCCAATACTATTGGAATGCTTTCACTGAACAATTTTTGCTCTCTGCTCCATGTTCTAACATGCTGCGAGCTTCACACAGACTTTTACAGTCTTCGACATACATTTGTTCACAAGATTGATTTTCTATAATGTTGTTAGTTATTGCTATAGTAACTAACAACATCTATTATTTTCAAGTGTAGGGTCTAATGGTGTGAGTTTTAGCAAAGGAGAAGATATCAAAAAATACTATTATTCTGAATTCTCTTCAATAATCAAAATGCAGTTAACCCCAATGTCTTGTCATTTTTAAATGATAATGTCAGATCCTAACAAGTGTTAAGGATCTTTTCATAAGAGAACAAATCAGAGGAAAATGTAAACTTAAACACTAAAAAATATCCACATTTCAAAATAATGCAGATATAAATTGCATATTTCTACATTCTAGTGACCTTAAAAATCTTTTATTTATTTCTATGTGCAAGCTAATCCCAATTTTCTAGGGCCTGCTGAGACAACATGAACTTTGCCTGTTGTCTCAATTCTCTCAGACTCCGAGCATCTTGACGTATAATGAAGAAACAGATTTATGAGTACGAGCATCAATGCTCCCTAAACTCACATCAGAATTAACATTTCTTGCACCAACTTTTGCATAAGATGTCGTTCCTTCCGAAAATTTATCAATGCTCTGGCGCAGAAGCCCCACAGTTTCTGCTCTGACCTATAAAGGAGTGACCTGATCATATTAAGTTTGGGTTAAGTTGTTTTAAAAACCAGCTCTTAACTGTTGAGAGGCTTGAAGAAATTCTACTGAAACACCAACTAGTGATTGGACATTTCTCCTGTACACTTAGGAAATATCTGACTTTATTTACAAAGCTGGAGATAATCAGGGAAAATATTTTCACAAGGAAAATGTCATCAGCTGTAATGAAGTCTTTGGTATTATCCAATTCAAGAATAAGTGATCTACTGTTAAGCACAATGTTATATTACCATGTGTACATATCAACAAATTATTTCCTTTGGTTTTATTCTACAGTTTTAAAGCGAATTTTTAACTAGAATAGAAAGGGCTTCAAGGAAATGACAAAATGTTGACTTGAAATTAGTAACTGGAGTTGCTAATCACTTGGGCACAAGTGATCATGAACAGTAGTATGGCAATTACAGCTGCCTCCAGTTTAAGCCCTCCCAGTGCTTTGCATGAGCACGTGCCACCTGGAATGTAGTGATAGCAGGTTTCTTGGTGTTGCTTGGTAAATGCTAATATTTTAGAAATAAACTTTTAACTCTTCAAAGTAAATGCAAAATGAAGCTTGTCTGTAGATAAGGACTTATCACAGTACCTTCTAATAACTTTCAGTTTTTGGGACTTTTTTAAAGGTAAAAATCAAAGTAATGCACAGATACATTAAATGTTGTTTTTTACCCCTTTGTCTGCCTCTAAAATAACATTTAAATTTAAACCCTTTTAACAGAAACCTTTTTTTTATTCCCACCCACTGAACCAGTATACTCACAGGTTTTGGATTCACTTCAGTGGTGATAATCTGCAGCAAGCATTTCAGCAACTTCTGACTTGCACCCCTAGTCCTCTCAGTTTCCTCTGCATTATTCCGCGAGGTCTGCACCCAGTCATACTCGAGCTGCAGTTTGCTGGGTTTCCCCAGCATGAGGTATAATTCAGCCAATGTCAAATTCTCAGAGGTACTTGGGCTCCAGCCATCCTCCTGCACCTGCTGGGCCAAGTGGGTACTATCCTCTTTCAGTGGCTTTGGAACAATGCTGGCACTACTGGGTTGTCCCTGAGAGGGCTCAGTAATTATTGACTGCCTCATCAGGCAGTCAGTCTCAGACACCTCTTGGGTGCATGACACTGGCTGTTCACGAGTGCAAATAGAAGGTATTGTCCTATTATCACCATCATCTACTGTAGCTGAACTAGGTGACTTTAAAGTGGTATCACTGGCCAACTGTGGCCCTGAAACAGCAGGTTTCTCATTGTTCAGTTCCATCATTTCTACATTTTCCAAATGCACAGCACTAGGATCACCAGAAAATCCATTTATGCCTGAAGCAGTAACATCTTTTTCAGAGGATTTGTCCTTACATGTACACCTCTCTGGAACTACTAAGTTCTGACAAGATTTCATGTAACGAGGAACTGGATCCAAGAGGGATATTTCATCAGTGCTCATAATCCCCCCACATACACAGAGCTCAGCAGTGGTAGTTACTTCTGAGGACTCCATAATAGTTGCTTCATTACCATTGCATTCTTCAGCAGAAACTTCTGAATTAGGCTTAGGTGAATGAAATAGACTTTCTCCATTTTCTCCCAACTCTTGCTGTCCCACATCAAAAAACTCCTCTGGTTTTGGACTGTCTTGCTGAGCAGCAGTCTCCTCAGCAGAAATACCTTCTGAAGAAGGCATTTCATCTTCAGTGCTTTGTGTTCCTTCTCCAGTCAACAACCCAGTCATTTTGCTACCATTTCGCCCCTCTGTTGTGGCCCGCATTTGCTTAACAGGTCCTTTCATTGGGCCCTGTGCACCTTGGTTGACAGGAACAGTCACATCCTTGGTGACAGATGCTTTAGCTAGAATCTGTGCTGGTGGGTGCAAATGAGTGTCTTTTACAGTCTGTCTGCACCTCCCAGTTTCCTGCCAGTGCACTGTGCAACAAGCCTTTGAATGAACCACCTTTGCCACTCCAGGTAATGCAGTTAATGTACAGTTCTCTGCAGGATAGAGATGGAGTTCTGTCTTTTCATCAAATCCCACACCCCTCGATTCATTATCTCCAGAGTCCTGTTGGCGTTCTTCTAATGACTTGCGCTAAGTTCAAGGTTAAGGTAAAACAAAATGCTGCTTAAATTAATTAAAATCGATGTACATAAATTTTTTTGCTTGGTCAGCTTAGTTTGATTGGTAGCATTCTTGCCACATTCAGACGGTACTGGTATTGCAATTAGTAACAAAAGAAAACAAAGGGGAAAAAGAAAGAAGTCACAGTGCACGTTTCATAACCTCAGGATGTTGCAGTTACTCACAGCCAACAAACTGCTTTTGAAGTGCATTCACTATTGTAACACAGGAAAGTGCAGCAGCCAATTTTGTACAAAAGGTCCCCCCAAATAATGAGATAAACTGCCAAATGATCTGTTTTGGTGATGGTGGCTGAAGCATAAATATTGGTCAAAATCCTAAGAGAAATTCCTGTTTCTTTTTCTTAGCACAGTCTTTTGCATCCACCTCAGAGCGCAGACAACTGCAGCAGCTTATGAAACCTCCCCTAGTACATTTCCTGATACTGCACTCGAGTGTAAGTCTAAGTTGCACGTTTAAGTCTCCAGATTGGACCTTGCGCCTCCAACCTTCAGTCTCAGGTAAGAGTAGGACAACTGGGTTACGGTCAGTATTTAATACAAAACACAAGTTACAGCACACAGGTTTAATATACTTTCTGTGTTTAGTTTGGTCAAAACTAGAGAAGTTAAACATTAAATGATATGTTAACAGATTATCGCTTCCCCCTCTCTCCACAGACACTGTCAAGACATGCTGAATTTCATGAGCACGTTTATTTTTAACACAGGATTTCATTATTTGTTATTAGTTGAAAAAGGATACGATTCTGAATTCTTGTAAAGCCCATTTATGTTTCAGGAATTCAATGAGACTAGAAACTTTGCGGTGCAGCTCCACCATCATCCTGCAAGGAAATAAAAACCTTGTCTATGAAAGAATGATTTGCTAACAACAGTGTCACATTGCAAATTATACATTTTTGAAATAAAGGGGTGAAAACAGAATATGCTGACATTCAGCAGCTATCTCCCAGCAGAGAACTCCAGAATCATCTTTACTTCATTGGATATGAAATTACATAGTTAAAAAAAAAACCTTCAACACATTGTTGATAAAGTAAACGGATGTAAGTTTACAATAAGACTACAAAATCATAAGAAATAGGAACGGTGTAGGCTATTTAGCCCCTAGAGCCTGCTACACCATTCAATAAAATTGTGGCTGATCCCTATATCCGCTTTCCTGAGTTTTTCCATAGCCCTTGATTCCCCCAGTGATCAAAAATCTCTCTCCATCGCCCTTAAGTATATACAACGGCTCTGCCCCACAGCTCTCAATAGCAAGGAGTTCCAAAGATTTTCAACTCTGAGAAGAAATTCCTCATCTGAGTATTAAATTGGCACACCTTTATTCTGAGACTATGCCCTATGGTCCTAGACTCTCTAATCAGACAAAATATCCTCTCAGCATTTCTCAAAGAGATCACTTCTCATTCTTCTAGACCAGTGAGTAGAGGCCCAATGTGTTTAGCCTTTGCTCATAAGGCAATCTCTTCACACCAAGGACTCTCTCAGTGAATCTCCTCAGAACTGCTCCAATGAATTTATATATTTCCTTAAATAAAGGGACGAAAACAGCTCACAGTACTTCAGAGGGTACAGATTCAGGGAGTGGCCATGGAAACCTGCATGGGCCCAAGCTATGCCTGCCTCTTCGTAGGATACGTGGAACAGTCCCACTTCCGCAGCTACAGTGGCACTATCCCCCAACTCCTCCTCCGCTACATCGCTGACTATATCGCCGCTGCCTCATGCTCCCATAAGGAGCTTGAACAGTTCATCAACTTTATAACACCTTTCACTCCAACCTCAAGTTTATCTGGACCAGCTGTGATATCTCTCTCTCTTTTTTTGGACCTGTCTCCATCTCTAGTGACTGCTTCGAAACCGACATCTATTTCAAGCCCACCAACTCCCACAGCTACCTAGACTACACCTCCTCTCACCCACCTGCCTGCAAGAATGCGATCCCCTACTCCCAATTCCTCCGCCTCCACCGTGTCTGCTCCTAAGATAGGGCGTTTCACTCCCGAACATCCCAGGTGTTCTCTTATTTCAAGGACTGCAACTTGCCCCCTTCAGTGGTCGAAAGTGGTCTCGACTGCATCTCTTGTGTTTCCAGCACCTCTGCCCTCAATCCCCTCCCCGCAACAAAAACAAAGACAGAATCCCCCCTGTCCTCATGTATCACCCTACTAACCTCCGTATTCAACATATCATTCTCCACCACCTGCAATCTGACCACAACCAAAGATATATTTCCCTCCCCATGCCTATCTGCCTTTCGTAAGAAAAGCTCTCTCCGTGACTCCTTCGTCTGCTCCATACTCCCCACTAGCCTTCACCACCCCCCGGCACCTTTCCCTGCAATCGCAGTAAATGCTACACCTGTCCCTACACCTCCCCCCTCACCTCCAACCAAGCGCCAAACAAACATTTCATATCAGACAGAGGCTCACCTGCACATCCGTCAATGTGGTCTACTGTATCCGCTGTGGCTTCCTCTACATTAGTGAGACCAAGCGGAGGCTCGGAGACCACTTTTGTAGAGCACCTGCGCTCTGTTCACGGCAAATGACAACACCATCCAGTTGCGAACCATTTCAACTCCTCCTCCAACTCCCTGGGTGACATGTCCATTCTGGGCCTCCTCCAGTGTCACAATGACACCACCCGGTAACTGGAGGAACAGCACCTCATACTCTGCCTTGGGAGCCGACAACCCAATGGTCCCAATGTGGACTTTACCAGTTTCAAAGTCTCCCTACCTCCGGCCTCATCTGACCTTCCCTCCCTCTCATCCCTGCCTCCTTGACCTGACACAACCTGTCCATCTTCTCTCCCACCTGTCCGTCCTTCCCACCTCACTGACCAATCCCCACCACTCCCTACCTGCACTCACCCATCACCATCCCACCTACCTACCCCAGTCCCACCTCTTCTCTCTCTATTTATTTCAGAGCTCCCTTCTCCCTCCCCCATTTCTGAAGAAGGGTCCCGACCTGAAACGTCAACCTTCCTGCTCCGCTGACGCTACCTGGCCTGCTGTGCTCCTCCAGCTCCACACTGTGTTATCACAGTACTCCAGATATGGTCTCACCAGCATCCTGTTCAATTCTAACTATTTCTACGCATGGAGAGCTCTGGATCTGCCTTAACAGTAATGGAATTGAGGGTTGAGCTTTCCAAAGCAGATTCACTGGCTGACAATTGGAGGCTTGCCCACTTCATTAATTTACAGATAGAGGGAGAGATACAGGAGGAGGAAAAATAGAAGCAATATAAAGTTTATATGGCTTAGTTTTTTTCACACAAGTTGTACTTTAGGGTGATTGCTGTTCCAATTTGGCTGAATTGCACCAATGACATTCCAGGGCTTTAGTTTTCTCTTTGACATTAAAATAGTTACTTTTGTAGGGAGTCATATGTGAACTATTTTCAGTATAAACCACCAGTAAGTACATTTTATCTCATGTAATTTATTGAAAATTGGTGTTTAGCAATAGTCATTCACCTAAAAATGAATTGCCCTCCAATTGTTACATTTGCTAAAGTTATTTTCTGCTAGATGTTAATATAAAGCCTTACTCAGAATCATATCTACTTATATAAACATTTCAGGAGGAGGCTTTCTAGTTATAATGTAAAAATGTAACAGCATAACAAAATAAGCTCTCTACTTGATCATCAGCAAAACAATGTAATGAATCTATCATATGTAAACAGATTAGAAATTGAGCATCTACCTTAGTCGAGGATTCTGTGCCAAACTCTGAACTCTTGCCCAAGTGTAGTTGCTGCGCGGCAGAAGCTCAAGTAGCACTTTCAGAGGAAGTCGAACAGGTTTCTGGTCTTCTTCATCACTAATTCCTAAAATTAATTTTAAAAAAACGATCAAAACATGGTTTGGGGAATATGGGTAGAAAGGAAGAGATAACAGGAGTAAACAAGGGATCATTTGTTATCTTGCTATTTAACCAGAAAGACAGCTGATGGAGTAAGGTACATTATGGGGGTAAAATAGCAAGAGGAGTGACAATGAAATAAAAAGGGAAGCTACAAAGGTTAAGCATGAGGAAGAAGTATATGTGCTGATAGGAGCCAGGGGTTGATCGAAAATGAAAGTGAATTGTTTGGCTGTAAGAGCAGTAAATGGATGAAGGGGTTGAGGAATAGCATAAGTGGCTGGGCTACAGAAAAGCTGTCAAGGGCTGTATTTTCCTTCCAACTCCACCTCAAATTTTGACTGCAGTCTTGATAATTTCTTTTATCCTCAAACCATTCATCACCTACTGTCAATACGGAAAGAAGAAAAAGAGAGAGAGAGAAGCAAAGAACGAAAGAAATCAAAGGAAAAGAAGCAAAGAGATGGGGACAGATGCATAAGTGAGGTGTAACAAAAACATGACAACAGGGAAAAGGCATCATCATCCTACCACAGCATAGGGCTGCTCTGTCATTAGAATGGGTTGACTGTGGGCGGCTTAAATGGAGGGTCAAAATGCCTCAGATGGAAAGAGAGGTTGAGAAGGAGAGTCCTTCATGGTAACCTCAGCCGGTGTGGGAATTGAATGACAACTGGAGGGTGTGTGGTACTGACTCCTGGCAGCCCTTCATCACATTTGATAATTTATTTGTTCCAACAGTAAGCCACTAGATGCAGAGACAAACTTTTCACCTTCCATTTACTGTTGCTAATACTTTCTTAAAATTTGATGAATTTAATTTCATCGGACTTCGAACATCATCTTATAGAACTTACCCTCAGGATCACAGATTTTTTTCAAAGCCCGGCACGTTGGCGTCTTTATACGTAAATTGCGACCTTTGTATCGCACAGTGGTGGCACTGAATCAGAAAAATCACAATGGCTTTAATGACAGAGAAAGACAAGACCAATAATCTCAGCATTCACTTAAATTATGAAACAACCGTATTTTGGCAGTTGCTGAGTAAAGATATTGTTACCCATCTGAAATCAATATGGTAGACAGCCTTCTCCACATGCTCCAACGATTCCAAGTTGGATAAATCATGCAATAGAAGCCCCTCAAAACTGCCTGACTGGTCAAATTACAAAATCTTAGCAATGATTACAGTACATAACATTATGACAAAGACAGGAAGGCTACCTGTACCTATCATAAGTACGACTGTCAATATATGTATCCAAATGTCTTTTGAATGCAGTGAGGGTATTTTTTCCATTTTCCAAAAGACTATGCCAGGTAGCAATGATTTTGCATGAAGAGATGTTTTGTCATCAATCCTAAACACACTTTTAATCAGCTTTCATTATATCTTCTTGTCCTGCAGTCGTGGTTATGTTTAGGATTAATCTTTTCAAGTTCATCTTGATGTTATATACCTCTATAAAGTTCTTCCTTAGCCCCTTGCTTTAGAAGCACTCTTCTGTATCATTTCCTTAGAACTCTGCCCTCAGATAAAAACAATCCATCTTCTGGTTATAGACTGCACCAATTCCAAATCTTAAAGTGCTCTTTTTGCCCTGGTGACCAGAAGTGAAGAAGCATGCAAATGTGCATCTGAGCAAATCCACATGCTGCTTCAGGACAATGGTTTCAAGACAGTCCTCTACTTTCAACTAATCTGTCAATAATTCATTGCTATTTAACTGATGCCGTGAAATCACTGTACATTATTAGTAAAAAAAGGAAAAGACACCAAATTGAAATAAAAATTTAAAATACTAAGAATAAACAAGTCAGCTTCTATAAGGAGAAAAAAAACTATTAAGCTTTCTATCACTCCTTATCATTCTGTCTCTATTTCAGTTCAATGTTTCACGTACCAACTTCATTCCAAGCCTTTTATCCTTGCACTTAACTATACTGAATCTCAGAGGCCACTGACAGACATAGTCTAGGTCTTTTTAACTTTTCAGTTGCTTCAATAAGCTCTCCTGCTCCCCAAACAACTCAAAAGTCTGATCAACTTATTTTGTGCTTCTGAAGCCAGGTTGCTCAGGCAGATCAAAACAACCCTTTGCATTGACCTATATCGGGCAATATATCTGTGCAACACAACACCACTTCCATAACCATACCCTACTGTGCCTTTCCTTCAATGAATTCTTCATCCACCTCCAACATTTATCAACAATATTAAACCTACATAACTGTCTTGATGTGCAATTCTGTCAAGGTTTTTTTTGTGAAGTGTGCATTATATCACAGGGCTTTCCAATTATCTTGAAAAGGTTGCTTTTTTGAAGAAGTTCTGTGGGAAAATCACAGACTCCAAAGGAAAGTGAATGTACAGTGAACATACTTAATAGGATTCAGTGTTTTTCTGACATATTTTGGTGGCTTTGTTACATATTACTCTTTTGTCATGAGAGACTGCTGCATGCCATCATAATCACAAGTAGCCAGTAGACAGATACAAAATAAGGCTCTAAATTCAAACCAACTGATATAAAACTTCCACATATTACTTCAAGCCTTGAAAAGAATGGTAATTTTTGGTCGAAGGACACACTATGATCGTTGTGAGCCATTACATTAAATCATTCTTTGATGGCATTAGATAACCTTTTGTAATAAATTTGTTACTTACCCAGCTTGAATTAATTCATTGAGTTTAGCTGCATTTTTATCATCCATGCCTGAGAAATAAATGCATTATAACAGAATTAAATTAATATGCAATCTATAATTTTAGAATACATTAATTGCCTGTTCTAGGCTGTATGGTCCTTCTTCAGAATCTGCCTTTACAAGAAATCTTTCCTGAATACGTTCATTGAGCATTTAACAGAACAGAGCTACCACATCAGCTGGTATTTAGTTGCTTAGTCAGCTCAGAAAAATGCAGATTTTTAAAAAATGATTAAAACAGAACAGCCATATGTCTTGTTACACACCAGCACATTTAAGTGAAATGAAATCTTGTTCTAATCCAATGCTCTTAATTCATGATATTTAATAGGAAGTAGAAATTTTTAAGATCATATATTTCACATTGAGCAAGCTACTTATGAGAATGAATAGGTATTTTACTTGCAACACTCTATCCCAGCAACATTAACAGGAAGAATATCATGAACCAGGAACTAACAATTTATCATTAAGCCACCTGGTTGAAAGAGGCCCCAAAACTGTACCAGAAAGGGCCATTTAGGCCATCAGTCTACATTCGTGATTTTCGCTGTGAGCCACCTAATCTAGATGAAAAAGAAAAGTCACTCATACAGGCAGTCTCCAGGTTACACGTGGTGAACTGCATTCTTGAACTACTACAGTACATTTGGTGTAGGCACTACAAGCACTTCACTTTCGTAAATAGGATCATATTTTTATGTATGATGTGATGACCAATAACAAGGTACCATTAACAGTAAATTAGATACATAACAAGTTAGTATGATTTTGGTGGTGGTGATACCCAATGACATGAGGAGATTTCCATATTCTCTAAATAGTTTCACTGGATTCTTCTCTTCAATCCACGCAGGCAGTGGAGGCCTCAGTTTAACATTTCCATAAAACAATCACTGCTGACAAATCAAGTATTTTTCGAGCATCCACCATTCAAAGCAATACACGGAATGAACATTACCAACTGATAGTCCAGTGAACCGAATGAATTTATTTATAGTTGTAGCTGTTTAAAACATGTACCGGGAAGTGTGAACAAAAACTTTAAAGACTGAATAGACATGATACATAAGGTATTTACATGACAGGAAGATTAGAATTCAGAAACTATCCAGACAAAAACATGATGGTCTGTAGAGGGCAAAACAGGGGCTTTTGAGTGGGGACTAGTTCCTTTTTACAAGGTGATGGGATTCATAGAAGCGAATGGCAATACTTAATTTTTAAGAAAGAAAATATTTGAAGACTGTCAATAGCCGTTTACAATGCTGGTTTTCAATTTCTACACTGCAAAAGGGCTAGATCCAATTACAAGAAGTTTCCTTCCATAATGCCAAAATTAGCAGGAACAGGAGTAGGTCATTCTGTCCCTTGTGCCTGCTCCACCAATCAATAGAATCATGGCTGTACCTGTTTGCTAACTTTCAGTGTTCCATGCACAAATACTCCTAGGTCCCTTTGTGTTGCAGTTTTCTGCAGCTTTCCTCCATTTAAATAATATTCTGTTCCTTTTTTTCATCCCTTCCAAAATGAACAACTTTTCATTTTCCCACATTATACTCCTTTTGCTAACTTTTTGCCCAGTTACTTAACCTATCAAGATACCTCTGTAAACTGTTTGCATCCATCTCATAATTGCCTTTCCATCTACTTTTGTGTCGCCTGCAAATTTGACCATAGTACATTCACTTCCTTCTTCCAAGTTACTAATATACATTGTAAACAGTTGTGGTCCCAGCACTGATCCTGTGGAACCCCATTACATCCCTACCACATCCTATAAAAATACTCACATCCGCCGATTTTTTTGCGTAATTCTCCATAACATATTAGCCCATAGAGCTCCTGGGATGATTTCTTCAGTCCTCGGGAGAACACTGCAACAAAAGTATAATTCAAAATTTTTGTATGTATTAAGATATAGTTCAGCCAATAATTTACGGAGAAGCAAGCCTAATCGTGGAATGTTGGAAATCTGAAACATGAACAGAAAATGCTGGAAATACTCAGCATCCTAAAGGAGAGGAAAACAATTAAAATTTCACGTCAACCAATATTTCACCATAACATGATGACCTTTTATAAGAATTAACTGCTTCTAATTAAAGGTCACTATCTGAAATTTTAAAATTGTTTCACTCCATATGTTGCCAAATATACTGAGCAGATCTAGCATTTTCTATTTTTATTTCAATTAATAATTTAGTTGTTAAAAACAGCAGGCTGCTGAGCAATATGGACCGGATGATCCCAGACCCTTGCTGAAATTATTGATCTCAATCTGGTTACCAGCTTTTTATTGCTATTCGTGAAGAAAGAAAAATCAACTAGGATTGCAATTCTTGGTCACAATCCACTGATTTCTACTAGAAATAAGACTACTGAGCAGAATGTAACCCAATACCACTCTGTCTTAATGAGCAGGCCTGGACAGACTACAAAGGAATAACCAGTGCTGGAAGCTGCCCTAACATTTTCAAAGGGTGGACAGAGGATGCAGAAAATAACTTAAAAAAGGACACAGATAAAGTTAGTAAATCACACATATTTTACCTGCTGAATGCTTAAAAAGAAACAAGTTTCAGCATTTGTTATCACCTAGTTAACTTAAAAGGTCGTGAGTGAGACAAAGGACACAATGTGCAAGGCTAGCAATTTCAATTTATTTCAAACCTCATCTTGCATTTTTATTGTACTAATTTTGTCAAAGTTTGCTAAGTTATCAGCATGATGGTCTGTTATTTTGCCTTCTGGAAACACATCTAAAAATGCCTTTAAAATGCATTTAAAGTTCTACTAATGAAATTCTGTGCTAAAGCAAAATAGGGGATAGCAAATCAGGAACCCATTTTTATTCCCCATCAATTCTCTTTCCCACTGAGAAATGAAACAAAATAGCTGTCATTCATAAATACCTTCTAGCTACTGAAAGCATAATATGTAGGTTGATTAGACTGAAGAAAACAAAATCACAGATAACCACAACATGTAATAACTACATAAAAATCTTTACTTCTAGAATGAGTATGATCTTACCAATTCCAATTTCTCCAAGCTGGGTTTCACTACATTTCAAGAAATGTATGACTCTGTACTAGCCTTTTCTACAGTAAGAATACATTCACTGCTGCAATCAGCTGTCTTGGAATTAATTGGATTATTCAGGCTATCCAGGAAAATTGAGTTGTATTCATGACATAGATTATTAGAGTGTTTATTTTTGTTGGTCACCCCTGTCCACAACAAACAGGATGAACATATGGATCTCTGCAATTTGGCCAAAATAAAAACTTCCTTAAAATGTAATTACAATTATACTACTTCTCCACTAAATTTTAGTGACTACACATTTCTAGATAAGTTAAGTCTAAAAAAATCATACCAAATGTAAACATTAACTCAAACCTCAAATGCCTGATTCGGGCAATATAGATGCTTTCAAATAAAATACAAAGAATAGATTTTGAGTGTCATCAGAGAAGTTTGTTAGCCAACACTTATTTTCAAAATGTTGCTAACAAAATTGCTGAAACACAACATGCTGAAAAGCACAGAACCACAAATGCAATCATATCCATTCCTTTTTCTTGGAAAAGTAAAGAATTTATCACTCTTGGTGATTGTAACTCAACAACCACTACAGTATTCCATAGTAAAAGGTAAAATTTTGTGTCACGCATATAGCAATCTAAGTGGATACAGAACAACTGTCCAAATGAACACCAAGATAAGTAAAGAGTAAGCAGTAAATGTGCAATTATTCTCGTGGAATTCTGTATTCACCATTATTGAAGTCAATGTATTTGGAGATCTTGTGCCAAGTACGGTAGTAGAAATGCCGAACTTGCTCCTTATTTTTCACCATACTTGCTGGCTTCCCTTTCTTCTTGTACTTTAGAGCTATGTTATTTTGTATTGCTTCAAAATCCTTTCCATGCTAAAAATTAAATGAAACTATATTAATACTACTGTTCAAGTAAATGGAATTATTTGAGTGAAAGGAAATGAACATTTTAATGATTCAGTGAGCAAGCAGCAGAGAATGACGGTCCCTGAGGAACATAGCCTACTATCGGAGATGAATTGATGGTTTAAATCACATCAATGTCAAGCTGAAACTCGTTCTTTTTTAAACTTGATCATGGGATGCGGACATTGCTGGTTAGACTAGTATTTATTGCCTTATCACTAATTCCTCTGCAGAAGGTGATGATGAGCTGCCTTCTTGAACTTTAGGGTCACCCACAGTGCAGTTAGGAAGAGAGCTGCTGAATTTTAATCCAGCGACAATAAAGGAACAATGATACAGTTCCACATTAGGATGGCACGTGCCTTGGAGATGATCTTGTAGCTAGTGGCGTACCCATACATATACCACCCTGCCCTTCTAGATGATAAAGATCATCTGGGAGGTAAAGGGAGTAAATATTGAAAATTGTAGTTGGAGTGCTAATCAAGCAGGCCGCTTTGTCCTGGATGGTACTGAGCTTCAAGTGTTATTGGAGCTGCACCCATTCATGGAGAATATTCCATCAGCCTGTCATATGCCTTGTAGATGGTAGACATTGAGTAAGTGTATTACTTGCTGTAGAATTTCTAGCCCATGATGTGATGGGAAACCATGAAATGTAAGCACTTATTCGTGTAACTCAAAGTATGCTTAACTTACACCAAAGATAGTCAAATGGCATAGTGTCAGTCACGGAACAAGAGGAAATGGCAGAAGCATGTGTTGTCAGCACGCTTACAAAAGCTTGCTCCATATTTATGAACATGCCTCTGCTTATGATTAAGGAATGGTAATGGCCAAGGTTGAAACCTTGGGGCATGTTGCCGCCAACTGCTCAGGGACAGGACAAAAAGGCACATTACTAAACAAAGCAATGGAAGTAGATGGATCAACAGAAGACAGAAATATCAATACAAATTGTAACCTCTTTAAATATTTTCAGGAGTTAAACAGAAATAGATAAACTTGGAAGATTCAGACATATGCTTCACTATAGTTAAATGCCTATACATACAACTGCTCTGTTTACAATTAGCTCTGATTGGGACATATTAGGAAATATAAACAAACATAGCAGAATTGACAAAAGAGAATTATGACTTCTTTTGTTCAATAAATTGTTAATGTAATGTATCTCTTGCACACTTAACCATCTTCAATCAGCTTAAAAGCATTACAAAAGAACATCTGAACCCTTTTACTTAGAATCACTTAAGTTCTTTTGCACAGACAATTAAAGTGATCATTACCTTGTATAATTGCAACAATAGTCACCAAATTCCTTCAGGGAAAATTCAACATAATGGGCAAATCCTTACAATGCATTAGAGCACCAGATTCCATAGCAACTAGCTCCAATGTGGGATCAGCATGACTGTAAAACTACAATTGTAACAACATTTAACTTGTTGACATCCAGAACCAACGGGCTACAGTACTGTGCGTATGTTAGCCTTTGCCTTTTATTTTTGCAGTTATAGGGATATATCTATGTAAAAGAGGTGACGGGAGAGGATGGGGAGGTATAGCAATGACATTCTGGGAAATCACTGAAATTTAAGCATTTATTCCATCAGAAAGTCTCATAACTGGAAGTAATAACTATGTTTAACTTTTAATCAGATTTTAGATCATATGATTTAGAGAACAATACTATTTCCCTTAGAACTAATATAGCAGACATCAAATTAACATATTGCGATTTTAACTCTGGAAACCAAACGTACCTCATACAGCCCTTCGAAAAATGAATTTTTATCCTCTGCACTCCAGGACTCCCACTGTCTTCGAACTTTCTTCTTGTTCCCTTCCTCCTTTTCTCCTGAAATGGAAGATAAGCTTTTTGCTGTGGTTTTGCCGCTTCCACCAGTGCTGCCAGCAGCAATGCCAGATGCATAACCAGAGGCAGCAGCTCCCCCCTCAGGACCTGCAGAGGGAACAAAAAAGTTAAGTCAGACTTTTCAAAAGTGTGACCTGGGCCATGTAGACAAGGTCTTCTTCCCATTGCACTGATTTCAAAGAAGAACTTGTACAATGCAATTTTTAAAAATACTTCTATCTTTGTAACCTAATATGTCAATAGATAACAATACCAGGCAACTGAAAAAAATAGACACTTTATGAATTTAACAATTGTCCATGCAGTTAACTATCCCAGTCTGGTGTTAAGCAAATCTGATGAGCTTCTGAACATAACTGAGCTATAAAGATGAACAGGACACCAGATGTGACACCAAGTCTAAGGTGTTAGTTGATCTCAGTCAATTAGTGCTACTACAAATTGGTTGTGGAACTTGCCCATAGTTAAACCACAGAAATCAATGTTATGGACTGAATATACAACTGAATTCTTATTTTGTCTGTGAAGTTTACACTTCCTTTACAGTTCAGTACTGCAAGATACCTTTGCGGACAAGGCAGCTAAAAAGATTAAATAAGATAATAGGAATGAAGCAACAGCTAAAGTTAAGGAAGAAAGAAATAAAATTATTACCTGTATTGTACATCGCACAGAATAGTTTTCATTAATATTTCACTGATTCAACTCTAGCCCAGACATAGTCATTTTAAAACAAACTGCACATCTAAACGAAAACCAATCATTTCTAAATGTATTTTTAATGCATTATGCAAAACATTCTGAATAAACCTTTCCTTGCTTACCACAGACAAAAAAAGTGTAAGATGCAAAGTAAGCAATAAAAATGAGACTTTGTAACAAAATCTAAACAGACAATAAAAAATTGTGCCAATCACGACTGCTTAAAAAATTCTCAGTATATTCCAATATAATCACATTTTTACATGTCGCATTAGAAATAACATTCTGAAGGCAAATGACTTCAATTACTTTAAATTTTTACTTGGGCAACACAGGGAACTTTTTTAAAAATTCACTTATGGAGTGACATGTTGCTGACTAGCCACATTCATCGCCCATCCCTAGCTGCCCAGAGTTAAGAGTCAACCAGATTGCGGTTGCTCTGAAGTCACATATAGGTCAGTCCAGGTAAGGAAGCAGCTTTCCTTCCCTAAAGGACTAGTATCCAGGATACTAGTCTAATGACATTCTCATTACACCACCACTCCTCATGTGAAGTACAATATTTATCCAACTGCCAGGCTCTAAATTGTACAAAACTTTTGAGCGTGGTGCGAAGACACTGAATATCATCATGGCAATGGCTCACTATAGCAAGTCCACTGCAAAATAAAATCACAAGTAAATAAAGACTCACATTTTAATTCGAATAGAGAATTGCGTTTTTAAACAAATCTGCAAGAACTACAGCCACTTTTACCAGTACAGCATTTACAAGTAATCTAAAGACAAGCAAAAAATGAGAACGTTTTTGTTTTAGACCTGCATCTGGTCTCAATTTACCCTAAACTTTTACCAAAGGAGGAAATTTTGACCATAGACACCAAAGGTTCTTGAGTAGATTTGTAGCTTAGATTGTGGATGCTGTGGTTGGTTCGCTCGCCAAGCTGGTTTGTTAGTTCGCAGACGTTTCATTACCCTGCTGGGTAACATCATCAGTGCAGCCTCCGATGTAGCGCTGTTGTGGTTTCCCGCCTGGCGTTTAAACTCTGCTGGAATTGGTTATCTCACTTCCAGTTTTTCTTCACAGTGGTGTATATATAGGGTCTAATTCTACATGTTTATTGATGGCCTTTTTGGTGGAGAACCAAGCCTCTAGAAATTCCTGTGCTTGTCTCTGTTTGCCTTGTCCTAGGATCTTGATGTTGTCCCAACTCAACTGGTGGTTCTCCTTATCCGTCTGAATGGAGACGCGAGAGTACTGGTCATGTCTTTTTGTCGCTAGTTGGTGTTCGTGTATTCTTGTGGCCAGTTTCCCTCCTGTCTATCCAATGTCCTGTCTGTCTAGATATCTCTCTAACAAGTGCACCTAAATATATTACCAAAATAAAACGGACCACTAGAAAATGGGGAAAACAGAGCCAAACACAATTGTTAACACCATCTACACAAAATACGGTACAATATTGTTACTCCAGCATCAAATAAATACTGCAAGCACATACATCACCAGCTGCTTCATCTTGTTGGATCAAATGGGTTACTTTGTGAATTACAGAAATAAAGACAAAATCATTCCAGAATGAAAGTCTGAAACTCCTATATTGAATACCGAGACTTTTAAATAATCAAATAGAACCACTGGCAGTAGCGGCTAACAAGATCATAATGGAAACAGGGACAGAATTTTAAAAATAATGGAAACAAGCAGACCTGTGCAGAGAGAACCAAAGTCCTGTTTCAGATTGATGAACTTTTATAAATGTAAAAGGTCAACCAGTGTAGCTCTCTCCAAAGATGCTGCCTGGTTTGTTGCATGCTTCCACCATTTTCTGGTTTTACTTCAGATTTCAATGTTAAAATAATGATGACAGGGAGAGGAGTTTGTGAAAGCCAGTTTGCAAGTAGGCTAAGAGTTGGGCTCCAATTCTGTAAAGACAATGCAGTGGATCTTTGTTGGCTTGCCTGTAACTGTTCTGTCCAGATCACAACAGTCGCATTCCAACTAATTATTTTAAATTCCAATCTTTAGTATTGTGAAGGGTCTAGGCCCGAAACGTCAGCCTTTCTGCTCCTATGATGCTGCTTGGCCTGCTGTGTTCATCCAGCCCTGCACCTTGTTGTCTCGGATTCTCCAGCATCTGCAGTTCCGACTATCTCTAAAACACATTTACTGAACTGGGCAAAAGATTTACCTGCTAGATTTCAAGTCTTTTGCGATTGGGAAAAGAAATAAATTGAGCAGTAAACTAGATAGGTTATTTTGTCTCTAAATAACACACATCGCTTTAGCATTAAATTAAAACAAACAAACAGTCTTATCACAAACCATAACAGATTTCAGGAGTAATTAAGAACTTATATTTACATACCATCTTTAACACAATCAAACATTCCAAAGAACTTCACAGGAGCATCGTGAAATATGACACTGAACCATACAAGGAAAAATTAGGTCAAATGATTAAAACCTGAATTAAGGTGGTGGATTTTAAGGAACATTCTAAAAGAGGGCAAAATAGAGAGGCTGAGATGTGCACAGAGATATTTCCAGCACTTAGAGCCTTGGCAGAAGCCATGGCCACCAACGGTGCATCAATTAACATTAGAGATGCTCAAGAAGCATTACATGAGAACACAGATCTGGGAGAGTTGTGGGGCTAGATGAGGTAACAGACAAAGATAGTTGTGGACGGATTTGAAAACAAGGATGAGGTATTAAAATCAAGACTTTACTTGACCAGGAAAATGTAGGTCAACAAGCAATTGTGAGAAATCAGGAACTTGCTGTGAATTTAGAACAGGCAACAACATTTTGGTTGCTATCAAGTGTACGTGAGAAACGAGCCTGGAGAGCATTGGAATTTTTGTGTGTAGAGGTAGCAAAGGCATGAATGAGGGTACCAATAGCAAATAAGTTGAAAGAGGATGAATTTGGGTCATGTTGCAAAGGTGGAAATAGAGTCTCAGAGATGGCACAAAAAGGAAGTCAGAAGCTTGTCTTAGGGTCAAATGTTACACTGAAGTTTGGAACAGACTGTTTCCAGGGGAGGGATAAAGTGGGCAACTCTGAAACAGATTTAGATGGGAAGTCAAAAACAATGGTGTCAGTTTCCTAGCATTCAAACAGTGGAAATCTCTGCTTATCTACCGCTAGATGTCAGATACAGTCTGATAATTTAGCAACAGTTGAAAATCAAGAGAAACTGGTGATGATGAGAGTTGAACATCCATACATGGAAACTATTGCTGTGTTTTTGGATGATGTGGCAGAGGCCAGCAAATACCTGAGAAACAGTAAGGGACAGTGGATAGGTCCTTGGCAGCAGTAGTGGTAATAATGTGGGAGTGAGAAGGCACTCCACTGCAAATGATACTCTGGTTGTGACTAGACAGTTAAAAATGAAACATATGAGAGCAGTTCCATGGTAGTTGGATGACAGTGGAATAACATTAGAAGAAGAGGGGCAATAAAATGTGTTAAAGACTGAATTCAGATTGAAAGAGATGACAAAGGAAATTTAATCCTTGTCACAATCACATAAGATCTCAGTTGTGACTTCGATAACGAGTTGTTTTGGTGGAAATTCTATTGGAGGGATTTAAATATGTAATTCCAAGAAAAATAGACACTGATGCGAGGGCAACATGTTCACGCACTTTGTGAAGGAAACGGAGGTTGAAGATGGGGAGGTACTTTGCAAGAACGGTTAGGTGAAGGGTATTTTTGAGAAAGATGATGACAGCAAATTTAAAAGGAGAGTGGGACAACACATGAAAAGAAAGAACTATCAATATTGGATGACACAGGGCCCAGGAGGAGAAGTTGGCTTGTTATCTGTGTAGTAGGGGCAGGATCGAGTGGGCTTCCCAGACAAGATGAGCTCAGCAAGGACTTTGATGGAGATGGGGGAAGAATATAGAGAAAAGACAGTAGATCAAGGTTAGGGCAGCAGGGAACTTTTGAAGAAGCATGGGCTGAGCGACAGAGGCAGTCAATCAGATGGTCTTAACCTTAGTGACAAAGAAGATACGCTCCTCCTGTTTGAAGTAAGAACGAATAAGATGGGGAAGAGGGTTAAAGATTGTGTAATAGAAGCCAAGGGATATGCTGACACTCAAAAACAGACGATTGTGGGAACCAACAGTGCTTTATGCGATCATCTGCCAGATGTTGTAATTGACAACACTAATGAAACATCATATATTGAACATGTCTTATTAGTTTTCCCCAAATGTCCATAGTTTACATCAGGCATTTTCTTCACAGGATGTGCATCACACTGTCAAAGTTAGTAGTTATTTCTGAACTTCCATTCTGAACTGGCCTCAAGAAGATGGTGGTGACCAACCTCTTGCGTAGTTGCAAGTGTAGCGTTTGATAC